ACTAGTTAGACGTGAACTTTCATACTCGATGTGATGATCACGTGTTCGGCACGATGATGTACACTCGCGGAGACCTAACATAAGTTAATACACGTTACATTCACGTACATTCTTCTCAGCTAGAATCACAGCTAGATTCTATTGACGAGGCAAGAGTTGCAGTGAGTACTTCACGCTTGCAGCGCAACCTTTCACCGATCGTTGCGGATTATAAAATCAAATCTCTTTCCAATTCCCTTTTCTTCGTCTATCTCTCGTGGAATTCGCTGATAATCGCGTGACAATTAGTCCATTGATCTCTGTGAGAATAGGTCTTTGTTCAAGCGGCGTGTACGCGATACGTAACAGTAGAACGCGGTCGTCGGTGAAAGCGCCGGACAGTCGATGCAATAGGGTGACCCTGACATATTTCGCAACACGCCTTCATAGTCATTTCCCAGGTGCAATTTGTATCGGTGAGAAGTCGCGAGCACGGCGCTTGTCGTCTTTCTTTACGGACAGTAAGTATTGCGTATTTAGATAACTAAAAATTACTAGATAAACATGAGATAAATTACGTGTAAACATATCTTAGATAAGATAAAGATGATTTTATTTTAAATCAAGATAAAAGATAAAATTATAACTCATTTCATTACATTTTCATCTAAAATTTTAAAATTACTTTTAAGCAAAATAATTTAGAATATAGAAATGATATATTCATATTTTCAATATAAATCTTTATTTCTTAAAAACTAGAGTTTTTCAAATATATCCCATCTGACAAATGATTTCTGCTTGTACATACATAGGTACGTACATATCTATTGTTCAGATATATCTCCACTGGCACCAATGATAGTAAGATGTATTATAATTGAACTTTCTGAACAGGTGCACATGGAGCAATAAGTTAAAGTGAAACAAATATACATTTGTTTCACTTCATCTTATTGCACCAGTTCAGAAAGTGCAGAAATAAAAAACAGACCTAATGTTCAGAATTACAAATCTTTTGGACATCAATATTGATCTAACAACATTAAACATAAATAGGTCTTATAAAAAAAGGAGATTAAAATCCAACAGTGAGAAGCGTATATTAAAATTCTCTCACATTAAGATAATTTGAAAAAGATAACACGTTTTTATCTAAAATAAAAATGGAGATATGTATTCTAATATTCTAGATAGGATGAAGCTATTTCTTTATCTAAATAATTAGTCTAGATAATTTTAAATAGATAACAGCAAACACTTCTTACAGAAATCCAATTTCATACTGGTCAATTTAATTTAAAAAAAGTAATAATTAATTACTTATTTTGAGTAAAAACATCGAACAATGATACTGCATAATTAATCACTGTCCTCCAGTATTAAACTGTAAAGGTTTCAATCGCGCAAAATGCTTTCTAGCTTCGTCATCGTCCTCGTCTTTTTTCGTTTCTTTCGCGAGTCGAATTTGCAATTTCAATACGCGCGACGGTCGTTTCTTCTCACGCCGCGCCGCACCGCTGCTTTGTGATGATTTCCGCGAAGCCTTTCTCTCCATTGCAGTACACAATGAATGACTTGGACGTTCTGCCGTTTGCATGCATACACCACACCGTGACAACGCGTGACAGCAAACGATAGTGTGTTATGTCACAGATAACGAGCACGCCAAGTAACTTCGTGAAGTAACGTTGGAAGTTCACACGATGGTTTACGTTCGCGAAATATTACACTGTACATTCCTGATGATCTCACCGGTATTTCGAGAAGAGATGCTAGATTCCAGAAGAACAACCGGAATTATTACGTTATAATTACGGCTTCTCCGAAGAATCGCACGAGCAGTCGCTGTTGATAATTTATTTTACGTGTTGTGAATGTAAGCGCGAATATCGTCTGATAAAACTTTATGCAATAAAACCTCATTTTGCTTCATTAAAGTTAAATTGACGCATTTTTATATGTCGATGTATTTATAATTCATATCCTGTTTTCTTAGAAATATGCAGACTTTATAGATATCATTATTAATATCTCAATATTTCCTTTTATAATTTGTAACTTAATTATTGATAAAACATGAGGCATTGAATATTAAAAAACTTATAACGTCTTTTTAAATCCTCTGAGAAAGCTGATATTCAAACAATCTACACTGTTGTCACTATAGATATTAAAAGAGCAATGGTAATCCAATCTCTTATATTAAATAACATTTGTTATTTTTAACTTTTATATGTGTCAAAATGTAAATCAACCTATTTCTATAATTAGTTTCAAAATAAACGTCTATATTAACGTATGCACTTAGTAATTAGACAAAATAAAACGATTTAAGTAAGAAAAATGCCTTACTCGATCTGAGCTACATCTTTTCGTACTTAATTATATTTTGATGTAAATTTATATATAATACATATCCAATTTTATAAACCGAAATAATTCTTTCTGAAACGCAATCATAATCTAATGATATTGATTATATCAAACTTATATTGAAATCTGCGGCAACTTTAAGTTAAAATTATGTATCATTTGCGTTTTCTCAGGTGTATCGGGTCCTAATGATATTGATACTAATAAGTATTTTAAAACACTAAATAATTTATTGCGAAAAATATTATCTTAACTAGATTTTGAACTGGTTCAAAGCTGGATCTACTTCTTCATGACGTTTTTATCAATTCAACCATTAAGATATATAGTGATAATTATTATGTAATAACTAGTATATGTAAAAAATATTTGTTGTTTTGCAATAATTATTCACAGTGTTTTAAGATGCATCAACAGCATTAAATTACTTGTTAATTTACTATATGATATTATATCCTGTTTGAGACTACGTTTCTGGACAGAAAAATATTTCGACACGCAATTTACAAAACTGGATATATATATAAATTTATATATATATATATAAATTGAAACATTATTAAGATCTATCTCAAACCAAATAAGGCATTTTTCTTAACTATGTATGAACACGGATTAACATCATTTATTGTTACAAAAAGATCTGTTAGACAATCAAGAATGAATTATTCATATAGAGTTCAAACCTCTTTTAAGAAAAAAACAAAGGAAAAACCAAGTATATGCGTTTCTCGAAAAATAAATGTTATATAAAATTGTAATTTAGTTATATTTAATTTTTTTACAAAAATTATGGTATCAAAATGTTATGATTAATGAAAATTTGTACTCGCCATAAATTTATATTAAAAATACTTTTTGTTTAAAAATATTAGATCATTACAATTAGGCAAGTATTTGCAGATTATATCTTACATAATTACATGACTATATATATTATATTGGTATGCAATAAGTAAGAGAAATAATAAAAAATAAAATGTTCTTAGTAAACATCATTTAAAGATTTAAAAACAGATAATGAAATTAATTGCAACTAGTTAAGTAATTGTTCATGTTCTATTATTATCATGCACATATTAGAGTATTAGACAGTCAACAATGAATATTCATGTAGAATTGAAATAAACGACGGTTATATACGATAGTGAAAAATGATACGAGAAACATTAAATAAGAATTTTCAGAAGGAAGTTGAAAAGAAAGCTAGCTTAACAGATTTTTGCTAATTAAAGAACCACCACTAATTACCCAGAATTGTTGATAGTGATAATCTCGTATCTCGACCGTAACAGTGTAAAACGACCTCGTTGCGGTACACTCACTCATGGCCTCGGACACGCGAAGATGTACTAATAGTCATTCAACGCGCGCTGTGCCTTTTCGACGGACGGACGCGTGGAAAAAATTGTACCGCCGAGGCCATGTGTCAGTACTTACAAAGAAATTGTACGCCAGTTATATCATCGCTGCGATCGGCACCGGCAGCAGGGCGAACATTATTGCGCTGCATTCGCGGGAAACTGCAGCTGCATCTTTCAGTGCCGTGTTCTAGCTGCGAAACGAAAGACACATCCACGTATAATGTGCTTCAGATCGTTTTTCATTAATGTTTATCATCGACTCGTCATTCTTCTCTATGGATATTAATGTAGACGCAACGTTCAACCGACCGTCTGTGCATTAAATTATATTTTATATGCGTCTTTATTTCTCTAATTATATGTGCGCGATATCGCCTCCAGTCGTAGAGAACTCTTTTTAAACGAGTGCAAGAAAATAAGTGTTGTTTAAGAAAACAGAAATAGCCGTCTATCGAGGAAAAGGAACAATACCGTGACGCTGATGTAACGTGTTATCAGTCCGTCTTACAGACAAGCAGACGGTAGATCTAGTTGCGTAATTCGGTTGTTGGTTTTTAGTTAACAAAAAAAGGAAAGGATGTAATCCGTACTACGCAAGCATGACGCATATGTTAACTGCGAGAGGCGCATTCTGCAGAATTAATATAGATATATAGATTTTAATTATACGTACGTTTGGCGCGCGATTCCAAGAAAATGACCAGCATTGAAACAGCGGCAGGTAGACATTGCTGTAAGAGTAGAATACCACCAACCGGATATTGGCTTCGTAGAGACTGAAGGAGGCGTAGCTGTCGCACAACGAAACGCGAAAACACACAGTTATCATGTTCGACGCGCATATTGCAACACAGGAAAGAGTAAACCTTCTATGATACACTCCGAAACACTCACGAGACCACAAAGCAGATATTTCCAAGTGATTCATCATATTAATTAATTTATATTTTCAAGAATGATTAATGGAGAACCATCGTAGACATTGAGATACTTTATCATATAACTTATTGATGTTATGATATTTTAAATGTATATATTAACAAAATGTTTATAGAATAAACAAAATAAAATATTCATATTTTTTGGAAATATTGCAGTTTCAATTTTCAATGTCTATGTGATCGAATAATTATTATCGATTAATTCAAATGTATTTATTTCGTTATTTATTCAAAACGTATTGCGTAATACAGCATAGTAAATTGATATAGAAAGAAAACAACTTTTTTTCCTCACCTTGTTTTACTCGCATAGATGATTGTTAAATCACACTGTGTTTTGAATTTTGCTTATTGATGCAGATTAGATCTAGTTGATTTCGCGCTTCGACTTTGAGAGGTGCAAGGTTCGAACTGCATAACTGCGTAACATTTAAATAATCTTCATTCAAGGACACGTCTTACGGTCAATATTGGTCGTAAGAATAAAAGTTTGAGTCAGCGTCGAATCAGCGATCGAGAGATCTGGCGAGATCATTGTTTGCCTCCTGCACATGCATCCGTTGCCCGTAGGCACGCACACGCATACACATAAATACGTACACGCATACATATAAATACGTGCACGTGTATTTATCTATCCTCCTATATATATGTACTTGTTCAAGAATATCGGTAGAAGGAGGTTATCTGGTAAAGCTGGAGACAGGCGGGTCGGCCAATATAGTTGTGCGAGCGACAGCGCGATCCACGATTGAATGATCGCGTGATTTCGCTTTATCGCGAACGAGTTACGATCAAGTGGCACGTCAACCTGGGGATTTCATAGATATTAAATGAAATAGATCATTGATCTAGCTGCTATCATGCTGCAGGGAAACAAGGAGAGCAGCAACTGTGTCGAGTCGAGGACTCCAACAAAAGATCACGAGCTTTCAACTGAAAGTGACTCGAAGAATCAGAGGACTCTCGGCAAGCAGACGTCCGATGTCAAGAAACAGGAAGATCTAGAAACTTGTAAAGGTGCCGACAATATGCCGGAGCTCAAGAACTATAACGAGTTTGACGACGAGCAGATCACCCTGGATTTGAGTGAACCACCGCCGGAAGTCATGGAGTACGCCAGAAGGGAATTAGGAGAAACCGAGGAGGTCAAGTGTCAGATACTACAGGAGTTCCGCGATATGATCTACGGTAATTCGAATTATCAGGGTTGTTAAAAGTTACTTTCTCGTTACCGTGTCGTTATTTTTTATTAAATCTAAATCAGTGGATAATCACTGATATCAGTGCCAAGTATGCCACTGATAATCAGTGAATGAAATGTGAGATCCCTAACCTAGCTGATCTTTATTATGTGATCTAATCACTTTGTTTTAGTGCATAAATTCAATAAATATGAAATTGGAAGATTGAAATTAACATGCAAATATCAGTATTTTAGTTATATAATGCTCGAACATTCTTCCTTTTTTAATTGAACACTTCACTGATTATCAGTGCCAAGTATGTCACTGGGTAATTAGTGACTATCCACTGATTCAGATTTAGAGAGATAATAAACAATTTGATAATGACGTTGCAATTTTTTATGATAGTAACGTTAACTAACTAAATGTTAAGGTTATGCTAAGGCTGGAAAAGTCACTTTGAAACCTTGTCATCATTACGAGTTACTCACTGAAAAAACTAAAAATAACGAGTAACGAAATAGTAACGAAATAGTAGGGAAGATCACCGATACCGACATATCACTTTGTTTTTAGACAATATTTCTTAAACAAAAGGTAAACATACAACTTCAAAAACATAAATACAAACTAAAAAGTGTCTTCTATCACAGATAGTATAAGCAATTTTTATAATACTGTTTGCAATTTTGCAATAATTAAGTTTTTCATAAGTTATGCAAAAATGAGCGTCTGACAAACTGGCTCCAAAACTGGTATTTGTAAAACTGATATCCAAAATTAAAATAGAAGGCACACAAAATGCCAACATTTCTATTCTATAAATAAAGATATATCCTATTCTGTAAAGAAAACTAATTTATGAAACTATAAATATTTAAAATGAGATAATATTATCAATAATACAGTCACTATTATTTTAATTACGCAATTTGCAAAAGAACACGGTAAGAATTTTCTTCTCGGATTCATAGAATTTGTTTTTAGCTGATTTGGTATAGAAATAAGCCACAAATATATGAATTATGAGTTTGTACTTCTTTAAATAGCTAAACGGATCACGTTTTTATTAGTATTAATAAGATGCAAAGGTTAGTTTCTAAGAAATAAGGGGATGTCGCTTTAGGAGACCTATGTCAGTATCAGTGACCTTCTTCTAACTTTCAAATTTCGTTATTCGTTATTAGAAATTGTAATTTAATTACCATTACCGTTACTCATTAGAAAAGGTAATACGTAAAAAAAAGAGTAATAAAAAAGGTAACTTCATTACTTTTTTATAGTATGTAACTTATATAAGCCTGCGAATTATAATGTTAGTTTCAAATGATAGTCAACAAAATGTTGATGCTGTAAAATCGGCACTGCAGTGCGAACTAACTAAAAGAAAAGTATAATCGCAAATTAAATAAAACAGAACAAATAGCTTGTAGCTCCAAGAATAAATCCAATTCAAGAAAAATGTATAAGAGTCTTCGCGATCGTTAGTGTATAAATAATATATTCGTATATATAAAGTGAAAGGATGCAATTTTTAAATAATAAGAATGTCATAAGAAAGTATATAATGAACAAAATTGTCTACATTATACATGTATGTTCTTAATATACGTTCTAATTGTTTACGAATTTCATCCTTTCGCCTTATATGTATGAATATATTATTTATGCACTAACAACCACGAAAACTCTTATGGCACTTTTCTTGTAATGAATATAATTGCGAAGTTTTTTTTTTATTTGATTGTCAACAGTTGTTTGTGACATCTTGATATTAGCATTAATGTTGGTATTTCTGTAAATGTGTGTGTGTGTACATATTAAATTTCTACTGTTACGTTCGTAAATACAAGCTCAAAATATTTTTTTTTAGAGAAAAATTTGAAAAAAAATTTAAAAAATTAAAAAAAATGTTAGCAACAATGTTTCCATAAATGTACATATTTCTGTTGTTATAAATACAGAAGCAAGCTATTTCTCTTCTTTGGGCTAAAGATTTGAAGAAAGAATTTAAAGAAGATATTAACAACTATGTTTCCATAAATGTACATATTTTTTGTGTTATAAATATAGGATCAAAATATTTCTCAGAAAATCTCTTGAATCAGCTAGATATATTTAAAACATGACTAAAATTCATAGAATTTGTAACGTTTCGCGAGGAAGTAGAAAAATATTGTCACATTTACATTATTCGATGTTAACAAGATTCTGTATGCATTCTTTCACAGAGAGAGGCGAGTGTTTGCCACACAGGATGGACGACGCTTTTCTCATCAGATTTCTTCGCGCGAGGAACTTTAATATAAAGAGTGCGCATAAGCTGGTGAGTTATAGATACATAGACATTGACAATGACATTTGCAATGAGGCGGACAATTGAAATCGATGAAAGAGGCGTACGCTTTTATTATTAAAAGTACGTTCACGTCAATGTGCTTTTTGTCACGTAAAGTTGATAAGAGTTTATCGCGTACAAAAATAGAATGTAGTCGAGAAAAAGAAAAATGCTATAACTGCAAAATTGTTAACGATATTTGATTCGATATATGCTGTGGTTGGAAAATGTATAAAAATAAACATATTAGCAAGTCTGCAATATCTTGTATTCAATTTTCCTCTAAAGATATTGCAGACTTATTATTGCTACTAAGTGCTGATAAGTGTTTATTTTCATACATTTTCCAACGACAATATATGTCGAGCGAAATGTAATTAACAAGTTGTAATAAGAAGTTATAATGATTGTGAAGTAATGAATGAAATTTACTATGTTTAGATCAACAACTTTACGATGTATTCATTCAATCTGATCACATAGCATTATTCATCAGCCGATTCAAGTTATTTATACAGAAAGTTAAAAAAGAATCTTTAAATTTAATTATATCGTAAATTATACCGGATTATGCATAAATAAAATGTAAAACTAGTTACGTAAATAAGAGTAGGGGAGACCGGTGTTCCTTGACATAATTTTCATAACTTCAGCAATCGATTTTTTAAATTGATTTTAACTAATTAAACTGTACTAATATGATAAGGGTAACCTTTCTCTATATCCCAGAATCGATCTTGTTTAGGTTTTTTATAGTAAGTGAAACACGAACATGTTATAGCCAGTTTGTCTTGATAGTGGGATAAATTTTCATATAATGCGGTGTAAGTTTATTATATAACAAACTCCAAATGTCAAATTAATGACGTAATAAAAATAAAAAAAACAGATTGCGGATATGTGTTCTGATAAATATTATATCTCTTAAAGTTATTCTGTAATAATTGAATTGTAAAATGCTATTACAGAAAAACAAATGTAAACTATTTTAGACACTGCTTTCCATTTGATGACATAAATCGACACAAGCGTCGTTCTATCCTTCTTGACATTCAGAGAGTGACAAAGATAGAATGACACTTGTGTCGACTTGTGTCGACTATGTCTCCTAAAAGAAAAGCAGCCGTAGTTTGCTTCAAATACAAAAATATTAAATTGAAAACGTTTTGTCGAAGTTAAGTTGTAATTGAATGTTTACATGCGTGATAATAAGTCAAGCTTGCCTTATATGAGTCATACTCTATCTCTATACGTTTCAATTTTATTTAAAAAGTTACTGTTATTCAAAATGTCGTGTAACAGCAGAAACTTTTTTTTTAACTAATAACCCAGTAAGCAAAAAATCATTACTACAATATTATTACATTACATTCAATAACATATAATCAAATATATTGTATTTAATGTTGTATTATTATAAACAAACTTTAGCACTATTGGAGATTTCAATAATATATTATCGGAAATATCGTTACAAATAATATTGTTCTGATCAACATCTCAGAAACGTTGAATTGTAACATTGTGAAATGTAGATTCTGAGACAGATTCAAAGTAAAAACCATAAGAAGAATTATTAAATATCCATTGATGTAATGTTTTGCAAATTAGTTATTCAGTATTTAGGAATATTGATTCAACATTTATTTATCACATAAGTTTAAAAGAATATTATAGCGAATTCGATTGGACGCACTCAGTGCGCACTAGTGCACATTAAAGCTGTTGAAGATATGTTTATAAATAAACATAGAAATCGATTAAATCGTGAAATACTCAATACATTTTATTGTACTATTAGGTAAAATAAAATATGTATTTCATAATTCGAAATATTTGTATTTCATTTTTATATTCAAATTAAATGAGTGTACGACGGCTTTAATATGCACCAGTGCGCACTAGTGCTTTTAATCGAATTCGCCATTAGATTCCTGAATTAATTTTTATGTACACGAAGCAAACTGAAATACTTTCAAAATACATTTAATTTACTTTCATTTTGGAAGAGGGAGGGAGAGAGAGGGAGAGAGAGGGAGAGAGAGAGAGAGAGAGAGAGAGAGAGAGAGAGAGAGAGAGAGAAGAGAGCTCTTAGGCTAGGTCCACAACCTTGCTTTAAGAGGCCGTAAGCTTTAAGTTGTAAGTGACGATATATTGGCCACAGAACTTATACTTTTAGACCGTAAGATTTAGGTTTTGCTTAACTCGCTTAAGTCTAATGGTTAAAGCCTAAAGTCTGCGCAAAAACAGTTTAAAGACAGAAATTATTATCACTTAATCTCTTTCGACTTATGACTTAAGGCTTCTTAAAGATTGTGAATCTAGCCTTATATAGAAATTATTTCATTAAAGCATGGGTGAAGAATTTTTAATATATTGCGCCTTTTATTCTGTTGCATGTAGTTTTTTTTTCGAGAAATATTACTCCGTCACGCCTGCCTAGTGGCGATACCGCGTACTTAAATGTTCGAAAATACATATATTATTAGGTAATATTTTAATGGCATTTAAAAAATACATGAGAATGCTGTTAAATTCAATGTTTCAAAATTTTTATTTTATACATATTTCTTACATGTTATGTTTCTTGCTTATTATATGTTAAGCTGAAAAATATTAATACGAAATTTTGAAACGTTGAAAAATTACTTGCCTCTTTTTGAATTAAACTTTTTCGTTTTTTATTATAGATAATACTTATTCATTTAAATAAAATATATCATTGAAATAAAACACTTAAGGAAAAGTATCTATATTATAAAAAGGAAAAAGAGACATATTTTGCGATAACTTTTCCATTATTTTTTTCGCCATAAATAGAAACGGGATACAATACCTACTTGCCTGTTATGTGTTAATGTGCCGACACTTTTATGTGGTATTATTATTAGATAAGCGTCATTTTTAATATCGTAAATATGCTTAAATAAATTATTTATGAAGCAATTACGGTAAATATTATGTGCCAACAAAATATTCATTTAGTCAATATCAAACCGTCTCTGAATGAATAAAGTACACAATGGTTAATCTTTAACTGTGTCAAATCATAAAAATATCTATGAGCAATAAAATAAAATAAACATATCTAAAGAACCAATCGACACTGGAGAAGAAGAGCAACGGTAAAACTTTTTAGAAATTTTTTTGAAAGTAAATTATTTTATATAAAATACACGTGCTCATAATTTATTAAGAAAGATAGAAAAATATTTTTTTAAGTTATTTATATTTTCCAGTACTTCTAAATTTTCCAATAATATGTACTTAAATGATCTTCTCTACAGAATTAGAGAAATAGTTTGAGAGAGAGAGAGATATAAAATGATAAATTAGCAAATAACATTTAATATGCTAGGTTAATTAGGCCAAGTCATGCAGTTTTCTGTAATTTACGCAGTTCAATTTTAGAAATACCTAACGCTAATTTTTATAATGGACCTTGCTTGTTTGACAATTAAATATATGTATATGTATATCTAATTAATACATTTAGTAGGAACGTAAATATGTATAACAAGTCAAATATTAAATGATCCGTCTATAATTACGTAGGTGGATATTTATTTTTTTTTTAATGTTCAGAAATTCAATCCTACATAATCAGTAATTTTAGTCTCGGTTAGAAGATTGCGTCATTTAGGTTCATTAGCGGAATTGTATATTCAGAAAAGTAATAAGAAAGGTTTATTATGCACAGTTATGTCCAATGTAAGCCAATCAATTCAATATAATTGCAACAATAATCTGCATATTTGTTTTCTTTCGTCATTAATCTTATTAAAAATAAGTAACCTAAATTGATTTAATCGCTGCATAAAATCTGTCTCCTTCTCTATTGTTTAGGTTTGTATTAATTTTCATTATTTTATATTATCTTAGATTGCTCTGTGTATTTAGTTCGAAATCATTTTCCGCGAAATCGTAAATTCTTTTTCAAAAATATGATTGTAAATAATATTGATAATAATGATTATTGATAACAACGATTACACAGGCCTGCAAAATTGGAGGTGTTGAAAGTTGATTGGGATTTAACAATGTTTTCTTACGTAATTTTTTGCGTTGAATCCGAATCCGGCTGCAAAATTGCTCTATCACGTCAAGATTTCGAGGTATCCTAACTTAAAACTGCCAAAAAGCCGTTTTCAACCATATTTTAAATTAAATTAAAAATTAAGAAAATTTTGTTGTCAAATCCATCAGCAGTATCATTTACTACTAAACGGCTCCTTCAAAATCCATTTTGAAAGAGACGTATAATAGTAAATGATACCGTTGATGGATTTAACAACAAAAATTTTCGTAATTTTTAATTTAATTTAAAATATGGTTGAAAATAACTTTTTTGGTAATTTTAGGATATCTCGAAATCTTGACGTGATAGAGCAATTCTGTAGCCAGATTTGGATTCAGCGCAAAAAATTACGTAAGAAAACATTGTTAAATCCGAATTAACAAAACCATGCAGGTTGCGTTATTGATAACAATTTTTTATTCTTGTTTCAAAATATTTTTGTTCGCAAGATAAGAACGTCATTTTGAATTCTATTGTTTATGAAATTTCATTAAGAATGTTGAAATAATTATTTATGACCTTTGTCAGTAATTAGTAGTGAAAATACATCGTTAGATAAAGCGCTGACACGAAGCGAAACTTCTAGTTGCACAATTATGTCAGGGTGAACTGATCTACCTTTCAAGATCTTTCAAGACCTTTCAAGAAATACCTGGCGCGTTTATGTATTCCATGAAAATTAGAATTAGTGAAAGTAAGAATCTATTGTAATTTTTTAGAACAGAGCAATTATCAATTCGCTTTTAATTGATTCAATAACCACGGTATAATTTCAACATTTTAATGAAAAAATAAAATAAAGATTGATATAGATTTAAAATAATTCCCTGTCCAAGCTAGCTTTAAGACAACTCAATCGTTATCTCTCTATCGCTCAATTCTCTTATCTGTATATGCACATAAGGAAACAAACGGGCTATTCATACATGCAATTGATGAGAACAGCCGATGAATAATTGACTAATGATATAGTTTATATCAACCTAACAAGAATCTATAATAATATATTAAACTGCGATAATGAATGGAATGAAATGTTCAGCGTGTGTGACCAGTTTGCTATTTTATAATGCAAATTTCACGGAATATGTAATTTTGTGACATTTGCTCGTAAATGAAAAAACATCGAGGCCTATTTCTCTCAAGGAATCTTTCGATAGATAGTGAATTACTACAACTTCAAAGAGGAACATCCGGAGATTCATCAGCAACTGAACTCAACCGAGATGAGGTACATAGGTGATGACGACGTAATCACGGTGCCACCGTATAGGACCCAATGCGGTAGGCGCTTAATGATCTACCGTTTTGGGAATTGGGATCCGCGTAAATATCCTACCGAGAAGCTCTTCAAGGCCACAGTTGGAATCCTCGAAATCGGCATGCTTGAACCCAGACAACAAATTATGGGTGGTATCGCTATTTTCGATTTAAAGGATATCTCCATGACACACGCATGGTCCGTGACGCCTCAGGTATATCTGATGCCTCGTTATTATTTTTCCTCTTTTTTCCTCGATGAAAAGTTTTGAAAAATGTCTTATGATCTTTCTAAGAATTTTTGATATTTTAAATTGGTAAAAATATCCGAAAAAGTATTTTAAACTTTTTCAGAATTTATACACTGAGAAAAATGGCCTGATTGGATTAAATAGTAATTCTGGTAAAAAACGACGAATTAAAATTTTCTGATTGAATGTACTAGAATTTTATATGAGATAACTAGAATTCTAATTGATATAATTACTCTGGTAAAAATAAGAATTTTAGTAGATTTTATCAGAAATATTGTATCAACCAAAATTCCGATTATCTCAACTAGAATTCTAATAAATTTAACCAGAAAATTCTGATTCGTTCATTTCCAACCAAAAATTTTTTTCAGTGTAAAAGTTTCTTCTGAAAATGTTCCAATTTATAAAAAAAATTAGAGAAATTTTCTAAAACCTTATAAAATTATTCTAACAAATTCTGAAATTTATTCAAACACATAGTAAAAAAAATTGTGTATTTATGTTGGAAACGGTCCATTCACGTTTGTGTTAACAGTGTGTTGAATTTTTTAACATATTCGAGTGTTAATTTAACATGTGATTATATTATTTAAAGATTTTTTATGAAATTGATATTTAATGTTTCTTAGTGTCAAAATGAGAAAGTGAACAAGTAATATAAAAATAATGTGTTTTAAAACATAAATTCTAAGACAAATGAACGTAATATGTGTTAATTTAATATATCATAAATATTAATTTTCTGAAAAAAAAAAATGTTCTCAAGTGTTGTTTACAAACTGTGTCGATGGTATCTTTCTTTGTATTTATTCTCTTACATAATATTTGTGTTATCTTCTAACATATTCATTTCGTGTAAAATTAACTCAAAAATTTGAATGGACCGTTTGGGACATGCGATTTATGTTAAATTCAACACATATTTTCCAACTGTGCAGAATACAAGACATCACGATATCAAAATAGCGTCAAAATTATTCCAAATGATCACTAAAAGTCACTTTTCAATCATTTATGATTTACTTTAACGTTATTGTGACATTATCGTGATTTGTTCCGCTTGAATTTCGAAATTCTGAAAAATGATGAAAAATCGTAAGAAAAATGTCTATCAGAGTTTTATTACGTGAGATTTGCATATTGTTTGTAGATTGTTTGTGACAAATACAGTTGTACAAAATTAAAGATGGCAAAGGAGCTAATTATATAATAATACGTCAATATAAGAGAGGAATCCTTCTTTTAGGTGGCAAGCATGATGTTGTCTGTGATGGTAACTGCGTTCCCCATTAGAATTCACGCGCTGCACATCCTTAATCAGTCATGGATCTTCGACGCGATCTTCGCGGTCTTCAAACCATTGCTCGACGCCAACATGCGAAACAAGCTGTTTTTTCACGGTAACAATTACGAGAGTCTGCACAAACACATCTTGCCCCAGTACTTGCCAAAAGTATACGGGGGCGTGAGGGAAGAGCTACCCTACTACAAATGGATTCAATCCTTAATCAAAGATCCGAAAATCGTCAAGGAGATGGAGAAAATGGGATACGTTCTTACGGACGAAATTCGCAATTCTTTCTCATGAGTAAAGTCGATCGAATTCTGAGGGAGGCGAGTTTTAGGAAAATTTTAAAACTTGCATGTATTTTTTATACAGGGTGATCTGAAATTTGCCAATTCGGACATGATACTTTATGCTAAAACAAATAACTTTTTTCTTTTGCAAAATTACGTCTGACAAGTAGTTTTTGCAGGAATTCGCGAATTTCGGATCACCCTGTATACGTGACATACTACTCAGTAATTAGTTTGCACGTTATCATCAGGTAACACTATTTAGTTTTTTGTTATTGTATCTTTTGATCTTTCAATTAAGCATATATGTTTTGAATATGTTTTACACAATTTGTTTTATCTTAATTTTAGGTTAATCTTAACCTTAGAACGCTATTAATATTGAGTAATACAGTACTGCTATTAATACGTAAATTTTACGTACAAAGAAATAGACCACTCTCTTAATTAATTAACACATAATTTTCATACATTTTACATTTTTATGACAAAATATTTATAATCTAGAATTTTTAAATACAATACAATCCTTAAACATCAACATTTTTTGCAACATTACTCGCCATGCTTAAATTTTCTACATAATTATTATATTTTAATGGTCCAACAGAATTATATTCAGATCTGTATCTGGCTAAATTTTTAAATTTCAGCAAAATCGTTTTTTCTGTGTAACTAAAGGAATTTTACATATACCTTACGTTTATCTTACTTAACTTAAAAGGAAAAACAAAATAAGGATATTATCAAATTCAACCTTAAGTGATATGGACTGTGTATAGTCGAATATGATTTCAACATTTACTAATAAAATATATAACACAAAACTGCTTAAAAATTAAAAACACTTATTACACTCTTTGTTACTGACATCAGGGAGTCCAAAGTGATATACAACGAACTGAATTTTTTAAAGCTTGCTTTTATTCATGGCAGACTGGACTCCCTGCTGACCACTGAAGGCATAGCTTTAGCGGTCAATGATCTCGCTCACTTGCACATAAAATTTACGTACGATAGCATTCTAAGGTTAAATACGTTAAAACATTTTATGTTATTTATATCCATGGTATATGTACTGTACTTGTGATTATGTATTCAACGTTCATAAGGCCTAAATAAAAGTTTTGCTACGATCAAATGGACGAGTAATCACCTGTATCAAACTACTCCGATATTTCGCATACACGATACGTCGCGATTGCAGTTACCATGCTTTACCGCACCTAACAGCGTAATGTTCCACGATAAGAATCATTGTATTTCTCCGCACGCTTCCACCTGATGAACCTAATGCTATTTTGGCTCTTCGCCGAGTCACTCCCATCGACGTGAGTTGATTTCCTTTTCCCGCGATTTATCAACAATTCTGCAATCGACTGATATCGAGAAACAATCTATCCTATTTGCAATTTTTGATCCACGTTGTGAAACATACTTCATTGGTTAATTGAGACTCAGACGCGCGCATCGGATTTCTTTCCTCTTGTAGTGAAATCACTGCGAACGCAAAAAAAATTCACAAATCGTGATGCGAGAGTTAATCGGACTATTGGCGTTTTCAGTAGAAATAGATAAGAATAATTTTTCCCCAACGGTACGTGAACTGAAAAATAAGGATAGCGAACGCAATTCGTTCCGATGGTAAACGAGCTGTTAGATATAGAAATTAAATGCAAACGTCAAAAGAACAATGAACGCAATTGAAAGATAAATTATCTTAATGAATGAATAACTAAAATTTATAGAGTGATTCGTTGAATGTCACGCGAGTTAATGGAATGGCTTTTCAAATAATCATTTATTTATTAATTGCGCTCGCTTGACCTCAAATAGTTAACCAGGTTACAATAATATATATATATATTATTATAATATAAGTTACGTTTTATAAAAATTGAGCGAACAGTTCTAAACTGTAAAAGGGAATAACCTCAAACGGAATTGTCGGTTCACAAAGAATTAATCACAATAAAAAAAAAAGTAGAAAACAAAACATATTACTGAGAACTGGAATGTACGTACACTAATTAGATTAATGAAGATTAAATTGCGTCGCGTAATAGTTAGTAAACAGATCATCCTGATATAAGTAATATTTTTTTATATATATTTATACGCGAAAAGAACGATTTTGCTAAAAAATTAGTTAGATACATATCTAAAAATAATTCTGTTGGACCATCAAAATAATTATATAAGGAACTTAAGCTCATGATGAGCAATGCTGTAAAAAATTTTGATATTCTAGAAACTAGCTTGAATGTTCTGCATAATTATTTTGTAATTAATAAATTTTTAGAGACGATAAAATCGTTGTCTCTATATAAGACATCTGATCAAGATTCAATAACATACATCCAAAAAAAGTACAAGTATTATTCTTTAACATGCCACGAGCTTATTGAAAGAATAAAAGGATGGAAAGAACGGTTTTCCTGAAATATATAAAAATTACGTCAGATATGAATCCGAAATTAATTATGTAAAACCATTAAAATAAATATGTAGGACGTTCAAGCTGGTTACTATAGAATGTCACAATTATTATTGTTACGCTTGAGCGTTCTGCATAATTATTTTAATGATCTAACACCTTTTCAAATTTGTATCTGAATAAATTTTTATGTACTTTAGCAAAACTGACATTTTTTTATAAATTAAAAATTTATTTTTATAAATATTAAACATTTATTTTTAATTAAACATTTTACAAAACTATTGGTATTCAAATAACTGTATTTTTAATTTATCCTCTTCGACCGAAAAAAATACTTTTGGTTATACACACAGTTTACAATTAAAATCAGTATGTAAATATTTATAGTTACAATTTTCACTCAATTTAGTATCGATTATTTCATCATTCTTTCCTTTGTGATATAAAATCATAATACTTGTCGATCACATAGTTTCGATCATTCACGATTTGATTAGTTGCGATTCTTTGAACTAAGGAAGGAGTTGTAAAGCTCATAATGTCCAAAGGATTTGCGCGAACCAATTGTGCTTGCCTAAAATAAGAACTCGGCCGCTCCGGGATGAACTCGAGATGAAATCAGGAAGATGAGGCTGCGCGTGCGGAGGTGTAGTTAGGTCGGTGGATACATAGGTAGAACCGTAAAGGAGGCGCAGGTAGGGCCTGGCGTCAACTGCTGGGGTTTGTGGTAGTTGATATCGACCCGGGTCGGAGGGTCGTGTAGCAGTCAGGATCGCAAGGCGCACGCCTGGACGTGGACGGGAGCGAGGTGCGAGAAGGAAAGCGACGTAGAATAGCGAAATAGACAGAGATAAATAGATAGATAGACACGGAGGGTGGCGACGAGGGTGGAAGAGTGTCGATGTATATACATACACACGGTCGTGGAGGTAGGTAGGTCGTACAGAAGAGGTAGTATGAATCCGCGCCGGTAGTAGCAACCCGGCTAGCTAGTGCACCCCATATGCGGGTGCTAGGCGTTGCATCCCCGAGAGAGAAGGTTCGAGTCCGGTTCATCTTGGCGCGCATGTGTACGTGTACGTTGCGTGAGTGGTGTGAGAGCAGTGCTCGGTCCGAGTGTACGTGTGCCGCGTTATCCTCTGGGTAACAGCTGCGTCAGCGAGCTCAGGAGAATCCTGGACGCTGATCGCGTTCCGTTCAGGTGCTCGGTCACCAGACTTGGAGTTGCGGGCCAAGACGAGACTACCCTCTCGTTCCCATCCGCTCTCGCCTCGCGGCGAGGCGGTGAAACGTGCGACGAGGGGGATCATCTGGGATTTCACCCGGGTGTGAGTGTGTTTACGGAGGAGTGCGACATCCCGGAAACCACGGAGGCTCCATGTGCATCCACGAGGAGGAGGAAGAGAAGGTAGCTGTGATCAGTCGATCGTTCCTGTAGAGGCGGACGTGGTGATGCGGTAGAGTGTGACGAGAGAAGTAATGTGACGGTGCCGTGGTGCGCGCTCAGCTGAAGACGACGTCGACGACGACCGTTAAACCGGCGCCATGTCGCAACAGGCCCCGACGAACGAGGATTCTTACCTGAGGTGTGGCAGGCCGTCGAACTTGCTGAAGACGAACTTTAGCAGCGCCCGCCTCGAGAAGCTGTATCGCGCGTCGTCGTTGCAACAGCGTCGCGGCGGCCTCACGTGTTTCCTGATGTCGGCGATCCTGTACGGCCTCTACACGGTTTCGACGCCGGGGATGGTGCTATCGGCGCGTTGCGTCAGTGCCGTGTTCCTCAGCCTTAACTTCTTCTTGCTGGTTTGGGCTGAGAGCGGCACCAAGACGCGTAACTCGCTCTGGTCGGTGGTGCCGTGCGTGGTCGGAGAGCTATGGATCGTGCACTTGTCCGCTCAGCTGTTCCTCAAGTCCGACAAGGTCACGCCGATGGACAGCTTGGCGTGGATGTTGCTGCTTCTCTACCTACTGTTTGCCACTTTACCGCTCAAGCTAATACGTTGCGTTAACCTAGCAACAAGCAGCATTCTCTTGTACCTTATCGCCATAATCGGTCTCTCCAGCAATACACTGGAGGATCTTACATCACAGCCTGTCGACATTCTGGTATGTAACAGGCGCTAACAGCTAACAGCGATGTGTGTCTCGTCGTGGATCAATCAGATCTAAATCGATGGCGGTCCTCGAGAGAGGATTGGAATTCAAAGCTCGCGGTCACTCACGAGATGCTCGAAGAGAGAATTGAATGGCGAGGCCAATAAATCTCGAGCGCCGCGTTGACAGATTTCTTTAACTCGCGTGAAAACACTTGTTTTTGATCTATGTGAAAGCCTAGTCCTGCGAAAGCTCGCGTAATCCACCACGTGACCTCTTTCCATTTATAGCACCCCTTTATAAAGTTATTAAAAATAACTCGAATACTCATATACACCGCATTCTATATTTAATAAGTCAGTCCCTTCGATCGTGCCTAAAAACGGCGATAACGGCGATAACGAGCTTAGAAACGCGAATACCGTGGCGTCTATACACTAAAAAAAATGCATGTAATTTTATGCATGGAAATTACATGTATGTAACTGGAAAATTATCTAAATTACATAAATATACTTGGAAATTTACTGGAAATTGTAAATTTCCAATCATATTTAGGCAATTTTCCAGTCAAGAACATGTAATTTCCATATAAAATTACATGTTCTTGAGCAGCAACATTTTTTTCAGTGTATAGTTGTCCCCAGAGCAAAAAAAACCGGGGGAAAAAAAAAGAGAGAAAAGTCTCGAGTCCTGCATAAAAAGTGCCTGTCTTGTCGAGATCGTTTCGAAGTGACGCGAGCACAATTGCGCGTTGACATAAAAGAAAAATGAATAAATAAACGAATAAAAATTACGCTGGTGCGTGTTAATTGCAAGCAAAGGGATGAGACGTTTTCCAAGCTTTCCGGTCCACGCGGTGGATGAAAACAACGATGTCGTCGACGCTGACTTCGACAAACTAATTCACTGTCAACCGTAGACCGGCGACGCGTGCACCAACAATCGATCCAAGTTTAACAAAGCGTATCTCCGCCGCTTTTATGAATACGCAGCACACACGGTTGCGAAGAAAAAAAAATAAATTAGAAATTTCACTTTGCCGGCATTGTCTCTCGCGAAGAATCAAGAATTGGTAAAAAATCGATATTAAACAATTCGATCGTAATAATGTCTCATTGAGAATTGTGTTAAATGAATCGAACGCTCGTATTAGTACTGTGATAAAATGTCATTCTGTTAAAACATGTGGAAATATTGTGAAATGTGTGGGCTATACTGGCGACGTATTTAGCAGCACTATTAATTGCGCAAATTATTCTATTTTTGGTAGTAACTCTTGACCTTAGATACTAAGCACCGTTAACGTTAATTCACCGCGACCGACACAAGTTATGCTACATTTATCGCATATCGATACGTCGAAGATCAAAGATATTACAACTGACTTGTTCTCCATTAATTCTTGTTTTTGTAGCTGTCCACACAATATAATTCATGATAATTTAACTTGTTCGTTTGAAATAGCTTCCTTTGTAATAATTATTATATATATAATATTAATTGTTGTTTGTAATTAGATGTTATAATTGCAAATTTTGTTAATTACTATTATTATCGCTAATACCGCTATCACAAATTATTATTATTGTTACAAAAGTTTTTGTTATTATATGAATGTATTAGTAGTACTTTGTTATTATATGTATAGTCATATTTTAATAATTGTTACAATAAAGCTATATAAATTATTATAATAATTATTAATAAATTGTAGTAAATAATTATTACATGAATTAAAGTTATTTTAAACAAACAAGTAAATAATTGGGAATTATTGTACATTTACAAAAACTGTGATCAACGCACGAAAAAAAATGTTTGCTTGAAAATGAACGATCCAGATTTCTGATTAATTCTACTAGATTTCTGATTAATTAATGAATGTTGATTATTTCAACTAGAATTTTAATAGATTTAACCGGAAATCTTGTAGATCTAACTAGAATTCTGGATCGTTCATTTTCCACCAGAATTCCAGTTAATTCAATCAAACATTTTTTTCTGTGTAGAAAAAAGTTAGTTGTTGAATTGAAACTGTTGACTATATTGGTTCATTGAGAATACCTATTAAAATTCTCTGCGTCGTTAAAGAATTTTCCAACAATGATTCCTATTATAATTTACTAGATTCATTAATTTAACGGATAATGTACTTTAATGCATGGCAAATTTAATTATTATTTACCTTTATGAAAACTGATACATACGACTTACTATACTCATCACGTGGGCTTGTCTTATCGATCTCGTGTATCGATACACGATGTGATATTATTGTTAAAGCGATAATAGTACTCGAGCCACCGTGTAGCGCCAGTAAAATTGGACTTAAACATACCTTTGTTTTGAAGCGTGGTATTGAACGACAACTGAGTCGTAGTTTGTCGTGTGTTGCGTATCATGCGGTTAACATGACGGTTAATAATACCAACCACTAACCAGTAATAATAAATCAGTAATACAGTATCAATATGTTTAGTACTTTTACAACCTTATACGATCAGTATTATTGACAATATATTTCACTTTAGTTTTAAGTATAATGTTTATTGTACCGTGATAGTACATCCTAATAAAGCGATACTGATGCTCGAGAATCAAAATCCAGATCATCGTCGATACTCTACGTCAATCCATCAGTATTAACCACACACGAATATTTGTTAATACTGACAGTATTATTGACTATGTAGGGTCACATTTACGCGTAGTTTCAAGTTCACGATGCGATCGCTGAAGAAGATATCTCAGGAAGTTGAGAAACTCGTGAAGCGATTTTATCATCACATTTTCCCTCTTTTATATTCTCTCTTTCTCACACTCTCAATATTTTCTCTGCAATTCATTTTATCGCAGAGAATAGTACAATTATTGAATTAAATGAAACGCGCTGGAGTTTCTCAGACTTGGGAAATGTTTCATTCCACTGAAACTGCCGTATGACACAACCATTTCTTTACTTTTTATTCACTTGTAACTTTTTGTTAAAAAAAAAAAGAAAAGAACGATAATATTCGGGGGGAAGCATAAAAGTGTACTAAACGATTAATAGAAATCGACAAATACGCAGAGAATTTTAACAGATAATTATATAGCTTCATCGAGCTCAGCACGGATGATGTAGTAAACAGTACAGGTGCATCGACCGAGGTGTACAAAACTTTCGGCAGGAAATATCGTGTGAAAGCGAAAGCTGGAAGATGCGCGGCACGTGGCACCTGTCGTTAGTAACACTCGAGTAGAGTTTGGTCAATGGTAGTTTAAAATAGAGAGCAACGAAGATACAGGCACGTAATGAGAGCGAAATAGAGTGAGAGAGAGAGAGAGAGAGGGACAAAGAGAGCGTGAGAACGGCGCTGCGCAACGACGCGAGAGGTTGCCTTTTGATATGCGACGCGCTCGATGCTTTTTCACTGGGAATGAACTGACTACCGTTCACCAACATGGTGGAGTATCACCCGGAAGAGTAACCTCGCGATTGAGATATCGACTGCGTTGGTTGCCAACGAGAAAAAATGCCGTGCAAATATATTGGCTGTAAATATATTGGCCTTACAAAGATTTTCTATTCAATTCTGAAGATAAATGTAGTTGTTTATTTTGTTTATTTCTTTTTTACTTTAAATATTATGCTAAAGGCAATGATATTAAAATATATTAAATAAAAATAGTTTTGTAGCTTCAAGTATAAATTAAGTATAAGTAAAATGCCTATAGAAGTATCCGTGATTGTTAATGCATAAATAGTATCATGTAAATTATACGGCCGATCTGGCGCTAATCGCGTGCTCTTAGCGCCAAGACACTACCGTGTATCTCCTGATATATTTATAAGATGATAAGATATACGTATAATTTGTAAACAGCATGTAGTTAAAATCAAATATGCAGTTAACTTCTTATTGGTAAGTACATTTCCAATTGTTTGTGAATTATATTTTATCACATTATAAATATATCATTTACGCACTATCAGCTCAAATAGGCATTTTACTTATATATTTGACTAAAATATATTGCGTTTATATTTAATTTTATATTAAATATTAATTTTATATTATATTAATATACATATATAAGTAATATTTAATTTTATATTAAATATTATACTAGAGATAGTGCTAACACTCTGAAAATATTACAAGTCAAACTCCAAAATCTTATAACTCCATTGTCAATTACTGTTCACAATCTGTCATTTAGATTCAGGCATTTCCATAAAAATAAATCTTTTAGCTTTTAATCTATCGACGCAGGCAGCCGACGCGCAATTTGTGATTAAAGAGAGTCTGTAATAAGTTCTTGCCAAGTGACGCGACTAAATCTGTCCCACAGTGTTTATAGACGCTCGTAAAATTAGCTTCATAAAAAACGTCCTG